ACATTTCCTCTCACCGGAGATAATGGTAAAAATACAAAGAAAGTAGATATAATGAAGCTTTATTATGTAGCTCATCATCTTTCAAGTTTGTGGTTAAATTTAGACTAATAGTTCGATCTAATATATCAATTCAATGATGTGTCAAGTGATATGATCTTTTAAAAAAATCCAACAATTATACTTGCAATATTGTTATTAGGTTATGTCAACTATGATACGATAATTCGTACTATAAGATTATACTGTTAGGCCCCAATAACATTATTTTTAAAAATTACCAACATGTAGGGAGATAAAATAGCTATTATAGAGCTCATATTGCAAACTATTGAATCATTAAGGATAGTATTATGCTACTAATTCGAAATTTTTTGTTAGCCATAAATTTTATTTTAATTTATTTATGATCGTTGATTGTAAAAATAATAAAATAAATAATAAATTTTAAAATCTAGGAATTTTTTTTTTGGTAAGTAAAAAAAACAAAAAAACCCCCAATATCTGGCAACTGGAATTGTTGACAAGACAATAGCACAAAAAAAAAAGAAAAGAAAAGGAATTGTTGACAAGAAAATTGACGCAAAAATTTTGCATTAAAAAAGTTAAAAGTAAAAAGTTAATCTCTAGGTTTTGTGATAAAATAAAAAATATTAGGCTGAGGTTGATTAGATTTGAATAGACTGTTTTAATACATCAAGTATGTTAAATTTTTTTTTTTTTTGGGTTCAATGATTAGGAATATTTGAGTTAATTTACTCGCATCTCAAATAATTTTTTTTTCGATCTGGTTAAAGATAGATTATCCACACTGAAACTATGATATTAATGAGGGATTCTTACATAGTCTGACCCAAAAAAATTTTCAAGATTCAAACTTAAGATGGATTGGTTTTAGCACTTCAACTACGTACCTTGGTTTAGTACGTTATTTTTTGAATGCATGGCAATGAAACATTGTTAGGCAAAACAGAGAATACCCGGAAAACAAGCCTGGAAGATGATAATGGCCCTTTAAAGACTTGTCAACACACTTCAAAGGTGTTGGAGTGACCTGCATGAACTGATAGTTCCCACCAAAGAGATCTCCATAATGAGACTGACTGACCCTCCTTCAACCTCTTCACCACCTTATCGTAAGCAGCCATAACCACCCTTGGTTTCCTCCTCAAGAACCTCCTCAAGCTTCGGATTCTAACCCAAAATCTCCTCCTAGGAGGCAATTTTCTAAAGAGAGAGAGAGAGAGAGAGAGAGAGAGTACAGGGGTAGGAGAAAGGGTGGGGAAAAGTTCCGGGGTGCCAGAAACACCATTCAAAATCAATACGAAATTAGTTGGTTTGCATTAACTATTTTTCGACATAAACTCGTATATAATACAACCCGTTAACAGGAATAAAAAATGTGTTGTATTAGTGTAAAAAATAAACAATATGAAATTAACATGATTAATATATTTAAATAGTATTATAAGAATAAAATTTTAATATTTTATTAAATAGTGACATAATTATTGTAAAAAAAATATTTTTACTCATTTTTATTATTATATTTATTAAGTTAATTTTTAGTTTAGAAATAAAAATAAGAATATAGGTTCGATTAAGTGATAATAAAATTTTAAATATAAACAAAAAGTAAACGATGCAATAATGGATTTTCAACAAATTTTAATCAGCATACCGACAATAACCAGAAATTTTTGATGAGATTGTGAGGAAACAACAAAAAGTAAACATGTAGTTATGAATCGCTCAACCAAAATTAGTTGGGATTGTTGGCATAGAAAATGGCCCATTAAATAAATGTATATACAAGTCGTTCAATCCAAAGTTAGAAACATGAACACATCTTCAATGGATTCCCTGAAAAGCCAAGTCTGCCATTAAATTCAATACAATTAGGCAAAGATATTTTATTTTCTTTAAATCAAGGAGACAACAATAAGTAGACGCGATTCAATACTAGAGACCCAAAAATATAACCCGTGTTGGGTTGGATAAGTTGGGCAGTTAACCAGTGTTCAATACAAGTTAGAAAATTTTCAATCCAAATTCTACTTAAAATCGTATTCAACTCGAGTCACACAACTTAATCTTCAATTCAAGTCAAATAAGGGTTCAACTCAGATTAAGCCAAAATTTGATTCTTAAACCACACAACTAGTGCTACAATTAAGGTTTCAATCACGTTGTACCTAAATTAACTAGTTCGGATTGGGTCCCGAAAACTCGAAAACCTAAACATGATTTAAGAGTTGCAATGGAGGGAAAGAAGAGATTGAAGAGAGATAGAATACCATTACTGTACTTGTAAGAAATAGATAGAAAGAGAGCATACTATAAGTTCCCAAGTTAGAGATATTTGTTTCCAAAAACTCGTCCAATTCGTGCCTCCCATCGTCCATTGTGGTGGTGCCTGTCATATCCAATAATATGCATGGGTCAAATTGTAAATTTTATAAACAAATAAAAAATTCGATTCCCCACCCATCATTTTGTTGGTAAATACAATAGGACCCTCAAATTGTGTATATTCAGTTTTGAAATTTCCCTTTAACTAACAATTGTTTCAATTTAATCCTTAAACAACATAAATGTAATAGTAATAATCAACCCCTTTCATCCTATTTTTCATTTATCCAAAAGGACAAACTTCAAAACTTATTCCAATATTTTCCCTTTTTTTTTTTCACTTGTTTGTTTTTATTATTTTAGTTAAGTCCTTAAACAATGTAAATCATAGCAATTAGTTTTCTTTTATTTAATTTCATCTTGGAGAGAATTTTAAAACTAGAGACATTGTTTCAAGGACCAACAAAGAAGTTGAGGGTCAACCTAAATACCCTTGAAGAGTAGCAAGTGTCACACAATTTATAGTTTTTCGACACTGATTTAAATAACAGCTTGTACGATGGATCACATTGGACCAATGTATACACCTAGCGGACTAAAGTGACAAAATCAAAACTTTAATAACCAAAGTTCTTGACAAGAGTGGGTGGCTCCATGATGTTAGCGTATACAGACGAGGTGGTTGAAGTTTTCAATGCATTCCCTGATTCTCTTCTTAAAATGGAGATCTCATGTACGTTACTAGTAGATTGGATTTTCCAAGACCATGGTTTTGGTCCTTGTTGGCTGGTATTTTTGACTTGGCTTGACTGTACTTGTGACATAAATTTGATTTGTATTTTTAAATTAAGTCTCCAAACTAGGTCTGATCTGGGTTAAGCCATCAAATATAGTACGATCTTTTTATTTTTTTTTGGAATGTACATATATTTATGATTTAAATTAAAACAATTTAAAATTTGTAATCATTATTTTTAAAAACATAAACAAATGGGGCCTAATTTACCAAATAAAACCTTAATATTTTTCTTATTTTTTTTGTTATGTTTTGTGTAGTAAAGTTAACAGAAGACCATCGCATATGAAATTTTAGTTAAACATGTTAAATTAGGATCGCTTAATGCTTAAAACAAACACAACAATCGGCACACGTGGATAAATTGGGTCGGAAATTGGGTCGGGTGTACGGAGGTGTGGAATCTATGGATTGGAGAGATTGGGTCAAAAAAACAGGTGTGGGCGTGATTACCCAAAAAAAGAAAAAAAAAAGTTTTTACAATCAGTACACATTCACACGAAATCCCATTTTTTCCATGGAAATTTTGACAACATGAAGGCCGACACTGTGTTGGAACTTTCCTTGGTTCGTACGTACTAGTAGTCTTCTTTAGCAGGTACAACAAAATCAATGTAAGTGTCCTAAATGGTTAATAATTTAATTAAACAATCAAACACTTGAGCATTATTCAATTAGAGTGGTTGATTTGATACATATTTTCCAAACGAAAGTTGTTAAGATTAGTCCAGGCCTCTTTGGGATATCTTCCCCTTTGGAAAAATCTTTGTTGTAATCAAAGGATAGACTACAAAAAATTTAAAACCTACCACACCGTATCGATACAGAATTAGTGTGTTTGAGTTTAATTTTAATCGATTCAGGTGATAAATAAGTCTACGTGTTAAATTCGTTGAATAAATAAATCGAAAAAAACTCTAATTAAATGCAATAATATAATTTGTTACGTATGACTTACACATGTCACGAACCCAATGAAAAAGTTTGGAGCAATTCTATTTTGGACCTAATCTTCATTGTATATGATCTATTTTATTTATTGAGTTATTGCCATTTATAGGGCTATAATTGAATCGAGTTACTTGAGCTCGGCCAATTTATTTTTTAAACGAGATGAGTTTGAATAATTTTTTATGCTCGAAATTGTAAAATTCAACTCATTTATATGTAAAATAGTCAAATTATTCGGACTCGGCTTGAATTCAACTCAATTCAAGTTTGACTCATTTTTTAAATGAGTCAATTTTGAATAATTTTTTAAATTCGTTTAAAAAACTGAGTTTAACAGGTTTAGCTCGAGTTTGTAAAATTTGGCTCGATTATTATCCAGAGTGATATATAACCCATGTTAAATAACTTATATTTAATGATTTAATTTAATTTATATTAATACTGATTCATCCGTTTATCACCCAATCATAATAAAATAAACTGGTATTGAGTTTGTGATTTTACTAGGTCTACTTCCATCTTCCATGAACCCCCTCCCCTCTTTCCGCCCCTCGTTCGCCATCATAGTTTCTCAAAATTGAAAATTCTTCTTTCTCTCTCTCTCTCACACACCCCATGGGTATATATAGATATACAAGGGGACCTCCTTTGCCAGTATACTATTCTTTCCTGCACCCTCGGCTTTCATTCCCATCCTGTCAAGCTGAGGCTGCAAACGCATTGCATTGTACAAGTAGCTAAATAACTTGTTATACCATACAAACACCTCTCTGGCTGAACGGAGATTAGGGGGGCTGGGTAAACATCCCGTTTCCTGATTAATACTTCCAACCCCAGTAGAACAAGACCAGCAAGAAAAACCCAGAATTTATACTTTTCAAGCTCCATCAAAAGACAAAAAAAGATGAAGTTTGGTAAGGAATTTCAATCACAGATGGTACCAGAATGGCAACAGGCATACATGGATTATGGTAGTTTAAAGACTCTGTTGAAAGATATCCAACGTTTCAAACAAAGAAATAGGCCAACGCAACCAACCGCCGCAACCTTGACTAGAAAATATACACTGCGCAGAGCCTTCAGTGGTCTAACACGGTGGAGCAACTCCTCCACCACCACCACTAGCGCAGCCTCCACCTCAGATTTAGAAAATCAAGTCATTCTTGTGAACTCTGTGAGGCGTAACGGCGAAGAAGGTTGTGAGACCATGTTCCTCATGGCGGCAGACGACGGAGGAGAGCTTGAGCTGGTGTACTTTAGGAGGCTTGATTTTGAGCTAAATAAGGTAACGTTTGATGATGTTTTTCGAAATTACTTTTGTTTTTTTGAGCTAAATAAGATATCATTTGATAACGTTCTTCTATTTTTTTTTTTTTGTAATTATAATTTTTTTTTCCCCGACGGGATTTACTCTTTTTTTTCGAGTAATACTCTATGAATTTAAAAATTAAACTTGATGATCATAATTATTTAATAAGTAGTGGGTCCCATGTAATATTACTCTATGTTGATTAAGCCATTGAACTAAGTTTCATGTCAATTGAGCCCTTAAACTCAAAAATTTTAATAATTAAGCCCATGAACTAATTTTCGTATCAATTAAACCTCTAAATCCTAAAAATTCAGTAATTAAGTCCTTATATCAATAGTCGTTAGGTTTCTTGGACAAAATATTTCACTTGCTCACCACACGGATAACAAATTAGAACTATTTTAAATTGTTCGTTCGAAAACTATCAGACGAAGAACTCCATTCTTGATACCGATCAATTGAAACCTTAAACTTAAACCTCTTTCATACCTATCAAACGAAATAGATTAACAAGTTCTTCAATTTAGTGTAGAAAACTGATTACATAAATATAGGCTATTCGAACAAACAGTCTAAAATATCCCTAATTGTTGTTCATGTGGCGAGCATATAAGATATTCCGTTTAAAAATCTAACAACTGCTGACAGAAAGACTTAATTCTTAAAAATTTAGAGTTTAAGGGTTCAATTGACACTTAATTTACTGGCTCAATTGCTAAAATTTTAGAGTTTAGAGATTCAATTAACACGAAAATTAATTCAGGGGCTTAATTAATACAAAGATCATAGTTTAAAGGTCATTTACGTAGTTTACTCAAAAAGTAAATAAATATACTTTTGCTTAAACAAAGGATTGGTAAATCGTAGCAGGTGGTAAAGTTCTACAAATCTAAAGTGGAAGAGGTGATGAAGGAGGCTGCTGAGTTGAACAAGCAAATGGATGCTTTGATTGCTTTTAGAATAAAGGTTGATGATGATCCAAGGGTATGGTTTGATAGTGCAGGAGGAGGAGAAAGAGAGATGACTCGTCTTGCTTCAGGTGTTGCAGCTGCAACAGCTGCGTTGTCTGCTTCTACTCCCCGTGGGGCGAAATTAAAGAGTAAGTCACGGTTTTGTAACGTTTTTTTAAAGTACAAAAAAAAATTTTAAAACGTGTTTGATAAATATCTTTAGAAAATAAACATCACAAAAAAAAAAAAAAAAGTGTCTTGAGAGTGATCAAGAAGAGAACTCTATTTGGTTTGTATTTTAGAAATTATTTTTTTGGTTTCAGAAACAGTTGTTAGTAGAAAAACTGTTTGACCAACTGTTTTTTATTTTTATTTTTTGAAAATTGAGAACAAAAAGTTGATAGATTTAGAGAACAAGTTAAAATTATTTTCTGTGTTTTGAGAAACAATATTTTCAGAATTTAGAAAATACCACCACCACCATAACACTTTCATCACTACCACATTTATGTTTTCATTATTTTTTGTATTACTATTTAAACAAGTTTTACTGTTTTCTATTTCATTGAACAGTTTTTAAAATTATATAATCAAACAAGTTCTGTGACGCACAACACATTTTTGTAACAAAAAAATTTAAAATAATTTTTAAATATTATTTTTTGAATGGCAAATTAAATAGGACCAAACTTGTATAGTTTTATTTCTGTTTTTGTAGTGTTGCTTACATTTTAATGGTAAAGGACATGTTCCTAAAAAGGTTGCTTCCTAGGGTGACTTGTGCTGACTATCTTTAATAGTTAATGTGAATGCTTTGAAAATTATAACTTCCTTGAGCTAAAATAAGGGTACATCAATAACTTGGTCAAGTGAATAAAGTGAACCCGACTATTCATTCGTGTCATTGAATTTGGTAGATATTAGTAGTTATCGAAATAATGAAGTTTATTTTATTTATTTAATGTTTTATTATTGATAAGTAATACCATGTATGAATAAATATTACGATATCACTAGTAATTAATTATCTTAATAAGTACGAGAAAATCTTGAATGTAAAAATGATACCATGTTAGCACTTTTTTTTATATTCTCATTCCATAATATTTTAACAAATGAGCGGGTAAATTTCATAAAATTTAATAACTACCCATCCATTTTATTTAATAACTATCATACATAAATAAGCGGAGTTTATGATACACATTTTATAGTTTATTATTAGATGATAAAACTACGTGGTAGTGTTGAAGGGGGTTTATGTAATCAATTTTCAACAACCCCATAAAATGTATTATAATCATGACACCCTTGAAGTTGAAAATTCTTTATTGGAGAAAAGAAAGAGAGAAATGAGTATAATTTGACTCTATTTTAAGATAAGTTTTGAATTGTTCATCTTTCAATCAAATAATTATTCTTGAGAAGAAATTTAAAATAATTTGTAAACAGTAAACACGAACCTATTCAAATCGAGTAAAGACTATGTGAGCTAAATTATGCAGTCTCGGATTTCACATGTTTATAAAACAAGCGAATTTTTTTTATCATATTCAATTTATTTTACGATTTGAACAAGCCTTTTTTAAAATCTAGCCAAACTCAGTATGTTGGGACTGTTTAACATTCGTAGTCACAAGTAGGTAGGCCTATCAATTGTGTTGGGTGAGACAAATTTGTGTTGAATCTTAATGGGTTCGTGTCAAAAAAGTACTCTATCCATACTTGATTCGTTTATTAATTTATATCTAATGAGTTGTGTCATATCGGGTTCGTGTCGTATATGAACTGTGTATAACCGATATATAAACGGATCGTGTCATGTATTTCTTTTGATTGTCTTCGCTCATAACCGATTCGTTTATTAATCGTATTGTGTCGAGTTTACTCGTTTACAAAACAAGTGATTTAAAGAAGACTCAAACTCTTTAATTTCATATCATGTTAACAAATCGTATTATATTTTGACACCCCTAATAACGAGTTCTAACATGGTTTGGGGTTACTATATATGCAGGAAGAATGCAAATGGAAATAATAGAAGAAGATGGACCAAGCAGCGAGGTTCAATCAGACGAATCAAGTGGCTGTGAAGACTTCAAAGAGACAAAACCTATCAACCAAAATGTTCAAAAACAAAAGCCTAGCAACATCATGGTCACCAGACCACAACCTCTAGAAATACTAAACCATGTGAAAATGACCAACACTCTTGAAACTCCTCGTTCGACAATCAAAGGTTTTCTTAATGTTTCTAATCAGACAGAGTTGAAGTTCAACAAGGAAAATCTGAAGAAAATAGAAGAAAGACTCAAGCTGGCTTTCATTCAATTTCACCACAAGCTTCGTTTTCTCAAAAGCTATAGGTAACTACAAAAGAACATTTTTTTTGTTTAGTATAAATTTCAATTGAGATTTCCTTTTTTTTTTCAAATATAATGTGATTAATTATGTTGTTAATGAATTGATAACAGCTTCTTAAATCTTTTGGCATTTTCAAAGATCATGAAGAAATACGATAAGGTATGTTTAAACTCAGTTCTAATGACTTATTCTCACCACCAAGTGGTTGGTCCAAGTGGGTAATATCTCGGATTTATTGGGTTCGAGTTTCTATCACTATGACATTCCAGTGGGACTAAACTTACTCTTTAGCGCCTAGAACACACAACTTTTATAGTTGCATGATGGATAGTTTGACTTTTTTGGAAGGAAACAGTGTTTTCCTTACTTGAGACAGTTGGAAAAGTTCTTTTGAGGGCCTTATGTTGAGTGAGGGGGCAGAACCACTTATGAGACCTTAATTTCAGCTCCGACGTAGAAGCGGTGGATCTCTTGAAGATAACTGTGTAGTGTTGAGGGACAATGTTCTTTGACGAATATGTGGATTAGCCTATCTGCATATTTATTTTATTATGCACCAAGAAAAATGACTTACTCTCTAGTAAGTTGATGTTGGAAAGCAGTTTTGGTGACTTATTTTCTTTACTCAATGGTTACAGATTGCTTCAAGAAATGCATCAAAACCTTACTTGAAAATGGTGGATGACACACATCTAGGTAGCTCCGATGAGGTGAGATTTTTTCAACTTAATTATCTCTTAGCCATAATGCAAACTGCAAAGAGAATGAGCATTTCCTCATTGAGGATGGCTTTGTCAAATATTTTTAACACTTCATATTTGAGCCAACCGACCCAAATAATAGGTGACGGGGCATATACAAGACTCTATTGAGTTGAGTTTAGATTGTTATGTTTGAACCTTCAATAATCGGATTTAGTTTGTGCAATGACAGGTTACAAAGCTTATAGAGAGGGTTGAAGCAACATTCATCAAACATTTTTCCAACTCGAACCGGAGAAAAGGGATGAACATCTTGAGGCCAAAAGCAAAGAAAGAAAGGCATAGGGTAACATTCTCTTTAGGGTTCTTTGCTGGTTGCTCACTAGCTCTTTTACTGGCCCTTATTTTGGTTGCGCGAGCCCGCGATATTCTTGGAAGCGAAGGCAGATTGCACTACATGGATACTATGTTTCCCCTTTACAGGTAACTAAAATTAGCACCAAAGTAGTTCTTGTTACTTAATTTCTATAGTTGTTTGCCACTTCCCTCCTAACTCAGCTCAAACCGCCGAAGTCTTGTCACTTTTTGAGTAGATGGTAGTTTAACAACTTTTATTTGGAGGCGCTTACATGAACAATGTCACGCCACGGAAATATTGAGGACTAATGTTTAAACTTTTTGTTCTGTAAGCAAAGTTGAGGACTGAAAAAACAAGAAGGCAGATGTTCTCTGCTCAAAGCCTCTCAACCTCTAAAAAAAACATGATCTCTAATTACATGATTAATTCAAAAATAGACTTGTTAGAAGGAGGCTAAGATCCAATCTATTTGCATGAAAGGGTATAAGAGAAAGCGAAAATATAAGAGAATAGCTACAAATAAATAGATAGATAAGAGGCAGAACAACAAAATAGATGAAAGGTGAAGCGTTACATAGTGAAAGAAAAAGAGTTTACAAAAGATATCAACAAACCAAACAACTACTACATGTTAAAACGAAAATGAAGAATCTATATAATTTTTACATTCAGAACAGCTTGTGAAAACCAATTCAATTCACTTTCCTGTATACCTCAAAGAGAAAAGTGCATACTATAGTTTTATGACATGCCATGTTCAATTTCCTCTGCAGCTTGTTCGGATTCATTGTTCTGCACATGATTATGTATGCTGCAAATGTATACTTCTGGAGGCGGTACCGAGTCAATTTTCCATTTATTTTTGGCTTCAAGGAAGGGACAGAGTTAGGCTACCGAGAAGTTCTACTCGTAAGCTTTGGTTTAGCCATTCTAACACTAGCCTGTGTGCTTTCAAACCTTGATATGGAAATGGACCCGAAAACAATGGACTACAAAGTAATAACAGAACTTCTCCCCCTTGGATTAGTAGGGGTAAGAGAATCAACTCCACACAAATCTCTTTTCACCATTTAACGTCAAGAACATACTAACTTCTTTCTTTCTTTGAAGCTACTACTTGCCATAATGTTGTGCCCTCTCAATATCATTTATCGATCGAGTCGTTTCTTCTTCCTTACATGTTTGTTTCACTGTATCTGTGCTCCTCTCTACAAGGTAAAAATCAGAGGCAAATTTGAAAAAGAGAGAGGGAGAAAGAAAGAAAAGAAGGGTCTGAGAATTTGATCTTATCTTCCCTTTGTTTTTCTGCAGGTCACACTCCCAGATTTCTTCTTGGCAGACCAACTGACTAGCCAGGTTTATAAAATGGCTAATGCTAAATCAATCTGATAGACAACTTTCTTTCCTTATAAATTATGTACAGAAATGCATATACTAACTACAGTAACAATTTTTATAGGTTCCAGCACTGAGAAGTCTGCAGTTCTACATTTGTTATTATGGTTGGGGAGACTACAAACGCAGAGAAAACAATTGCAATTCAAGTGATGTTTACAACGTTTTCTTCTTCATTGTAGCTGTAATCCCGTATTGGATGCGTCTATTACAGGTAAATCTACTACATGATACAATTCAACTATTTGGGGTCAGTTACACGTGTGTGTAGAGTCTATCCGATCCAATTCTGAGATGTTCATGAACAGCGCGGTTCATTTGTAGACTGTAACAATTTTCTTTTCATCTCAGTGCCTCCGACGCTTGTATGAAGAGAGAGATCCAATGCAGGGTTACAATGGGCTGAAATATTTCTCAACAATTGTAGCAGTGTGTACAAGGACAGCTTACAGTGTCAACAAAGGGATCAGTTGGAGGGTGATAGCCTGGATTGCCTCAGTCATTGCAACCATCTTTGCCACATACTGGGACATTTTGATAGACTGGGGGCTTTTCAACAGGAATTCTAAGAACCGTTGGTTGAGAGACAAGCTTCTTATCCCACATAAAACTGTATATTTTGTAGCCATGGTGAGTAAAAGAACAGACCCTTACATCAAGTACTTGTAGGTTTTGTTTTTTGGTGGTAACGGAAATCGTCACAACCATGTGTTATTTGGATCTAATAAATAGAACGTGCATCGATTAAACTTAAGTTTTATGAAAACAAGATGTCCGAGTTTATGCATCACTTTTTGTTCAACCTATGAACTAACCCGTGCGGGTTAAAATTGTAGTTTTTACTTGCATCCAACTTGAGTACTTCTAACAATGATTAGGAATTATGCAGGTCCTGAATGTCTTGCTGAGGTTAGCCTGGTTGCAATCGTTGCTAGGATTTGGGGTTTCTTTCTTACATGGAAATACTTTAATTGCCATTGTAGCTACCCTGGAAATCATTCGTCGGGGTATATGGAATTTCTTCAGGTAATTTTACGATACCACCAAGATTCTATTCCAGTATCATGTCATCCACCAACCCAGCTTCTATTCCAGTATCATGTCATCCACCAACCCGTCCACAAATTAACAGGCTGGATACCTGTTTTATTAATACGGATTGTAAATGAGTTAAGTCTATACAAGAAACATTAATAATAAACTCAAACAAAGACACACTAATACACCAATACACATACACACACAAAAATTGTGTTAATGCATACTAAACTAATAACCAAAACACATACACAGTAACAAACTGTTAACACATACACAAATGCAAGAAAAAAATGTGCACTCATACACTAAAAAATTGAACAAGATTTGTGGCCAAACTTTCCCTGACAACAAGAAATTGCAAGTACAAGCCTTGATTGTTGAAGTTTCTCATTGCGGTTTGATCAGGTTGGAGAATGAACATCTGAACAATGTTGGTAAATATCGTGCATTCAAGTCTGTGCCTCTGCCTTTCAATTACGACGAAGATGAGGAGAAAGATGAATAGGGGTTCCAGTCCCCCCCCCACCCCCTCCCCTCCCCTCCCCCTCCTCTTCTCTTTCCCCCTTTTTCTTCCCGTCCAATGCCCTTGTTTACGTCTTACTAGATGTATGTAGTCATGTAATCATCTTACTTCAGAGTATGTAGCCATTCATCATTTATTAATTAACTCAATTTTCTTACTGCTACTTGTTCTTCTTCTGGAAATGCATCAAGGAGTAGCCAAGCACAAGGAAATTCAACAAATTGCAGAAAGGAACGTTCTAGTCCAAAATGAAAAACTATCACCATTTGTAGACTCACAAGGTGAAAATATCGAAACAGAAACCAAAAAAACATATGTCTTAGAACCAGGAGTTTGGAAGAGAATGGGGAGGTGTAGCAAATGATGGTAATGCGCCTTATATGGCTTCCAAGGCCTGAAGGATGTCAGCCTTTAAGTCCTCAAAGTCTTCAATCCCAAAGCTAAATCGAACCAAGTTGTCATTAATCCCAAATTTAGCCCTGTCTGCCTGGCTAAGATCCCTGTTTCAAGGCACTATATCACCCATTTGATGAAGATAATTATTTAAAATATCACAAAAGGAGTTATCACTCCTATATTGTTAAGTAATGTGCCGTAGAGAGAGATTGCATACCAGTACGACATGATTGCAGGCTGATCTACGATGCTCTCACAGCCCCCAAATGAAGGGGCTATATAAGGGATTTTCAAGGCATCAATAAACTTTGCGGTTTTCATCAAGTCCCCATCAATCTACATAATCGAAAAAACAGCATGGACTTCAAGAATTCTAAGCAACTTACTGATGTTCAGTTATGCTAAGGTGCAGAGTCACACAAACATCAGGACTCACCTCAAAACTAACCACACCACCAAAACCAGTCATTTGTCTCTTGGCCATGTAGTGTTCAGGATGACTAACAAGGCCAGGATAATATACATGGTTCACCTGCATAAGCTTAATGTCATAACTTGAGGAAGATGGCAGCCTGTGGCCGAGAAAGAATAATGTTATCTGTACACGAACAAATTCTGAAAAGATACATGAAGAATATGTAGATAAAGTGATCCCTAAAAGTTTCTTTTGCCAAAACAAAGGCTATCAATATTTTGGGTCCAGTATCAACTACATGATTGAATCCCTAACTCTAAATACTCAATGAAGGTATTTTTCTTTAAGGGTCCTTGTGATAAGAACAAAAGAGGGTAGATGGAATTGAACACACCTCACCCACATACCATTATATACATAGAGAGGCAAGAGAGTATGAAGTAGATGTGTTTATGGAGTCAAAACTTCAAAATTTTAAGACAATTAAGATAACTTCGTAGAGGGGGTGCCCAATTACAAATGGTAATTGCCTTGAGACTCAATGAGAGGTTCATAAATAGTTTCACAGGAGGAGAGAATCGAGGTGTGCGTGATAAAAAATGGTAATTTTCCAAATCTGGAAATGGAGGGTACAACCCTCTTCGACTAAATGTTTGAAGCACATGGATGCATTCAAAGAGACAGAAAGAGAGTCCCTCAACTCCCTAGGTAATGGTTTCGTAGAACAGATGGAAGGACATATACTGCAGCAAATCATTTCTCTATAAGGGGGAAAGAAACTCATGAAGGTACCTTAGGATGTCCCTCTAAAAGTCTGGCCATCCTCAATGCTGTAGTGTTTTGCTGCTGTACACGAAGATGCAGTGTCTTCATGCCTCGAATGATCAGATACGCGGCATTCTGTTAAGAAAAGGAACAAGCAGTTTATTTTGCTGAACAACCAAGCGGGCTAAAATTGGACTATTGATCAAATGAGATGTACGTGATCAAGCATATGCATTTATAATGGTCTGAAGCCCAAAACACAGTATGATAGTTTCACTGTATTAACTTAAAAATCATTAACCTGGATCCCAACACAAATGAAACTTACTATAAGGCTTTTGGACAGGTGCAAACTGATATATAACCAAATGTTGCCAAGTACAGAATGACTTACTGGGTTAAGAGCACCACCCAAAATGTTATGGAGTGTACGGACTTTAGCCATAAGCTTCTCGGAACCACTAATGCAACCAGCAAGGACCTGAAAGAATTGGAATTTAATTACTGATAATCTAACTTTAGATATTGAAAGCTAACAATCTTGATTTAAAAAAAATAAGTGAAATATACATCATTGTGACCGGCAATGTATTTTGTTGCAGAATGCAAGACAATATCAGCACCAAGAGAGAGGGCCTTTTGGTTCAAAGGTGTAGCAAATGTTCCATCCACGCAGACCAGAGCTCCTTTACTGTGGCAGAGCTTTGACACCAATTCAATGTCAACACACCGGAGAAACGGATTTGTTGGTGATTCTGTAAAGAAAAGAGTGACCTGTATCCACCAAAACAAGACCCAGTCAGGTTTAACCGAAGACCAATACATATAAAAATTTCATCAAATAAAATAAGAAGTTAAAAAAAGAGAAACAAATTTAATCGGCCTCTTACCTCATTCTTGTCCAGAGCAGATTTCAAAGCATCCACATTGGCAGGATCAATCACAGTAGTCTGCACAACATGACAAAGAAGATTTGTAAGCATGAAAACAATTGCATGCAAATCAAACAGAAGATGACCAGTAGACATACAGGTGCAAATTTGACACGGACTAGTGTTGTAGGCGTAACAAACAAGCACAACTAGAGATCATCTAGGAGAGATGTGCAATAACCACAGTGATCATAATTTTGTTTGATAAAGACAGCACAGGCAAAATTATCTAGGCTTGCCTGATCGAAAATGAAGACAAATGAATTCAGATTACGTTTCCTGCAACTTATTTATGTAAGCAAAACATTGACTGAAAATGTGGTCAAGATGGTTGACTTCATGACCAGCCAAGGTTCAGCAAATCATGGTCCAGTTACAAAAAAAAATCTCAATTACAACTTTAATAACTGATTCTATAGCTGCTACAGCATATATTATTCTTTTTCAGGACCCCCATTGGTTTTACATGCTCCTCAACTTCCAGGTTGACAGAAGATGAAGAGATGCTATACTGATATACCACTCCAATGAGGTGTTGTATTTCTATTGAGTCAGTCATCTGGTATAAACACAGGTATGGAGTAAGGTCCCCTGCATTGTAGCAAAACGTTGCCAAAAGTATCCAGACAAGCAAGGCATACAAACAATAAGTAGAAATGTAATTCATGTTAAAAAAAAAGTACCTTAATTCCCATTTTGGGGAGTATGGTCTCAATGAAAATTCGAGTCTTCCTGTAGCAATCTGTAGTTGTCACAAGATACCCACCAGCTGGAATAAGTGCCATCAGCAAAACAGTGCTAGCACACATTCCAGATGCCATCAACAGGGTTGATTCAGCCCCCTCAAGTGCACTGATTAATTACAGAGGAAAATGAATGCTCACTATAACATTAGGCAATTCGGCCTTACAAGCGCATTTCCAAAATCGAGACACACCTGATCTTCTCCTCTGCAACAACAGTAGTTGGATTCCCATAACGCCCATACTCAAAACTTGCATGGCGGCCCTCCTGCCACAATATCAAATACATGATTCAACCTCTTATTGTAACTTTAGGGACAAGGCAGGCTGTGGGTATGCATAAGAAAGAATAAAGAACAAGAGTAGTAAGTCGGAATTAACATGCATACCTTGAAATCAATAAGCTCAGAAGTTTTCTTGAAGAAGTAGGCAGAAGTGTTAACAACAGGAGTGGTGATTGCATCAGTAACTATACCACGACCTAATCTTTCACCTGCAGAAGAAAAAAAAAAAAAAAGAATCGAATATCCATTGATCAAATCATTCCCAGCCTATTTTCCAAGTTCCAACTATTAAGAATGAATAACATAGTAAATCAACCGCTTCTGTCCAGTTTCAGCTTCAGCTTTCTAAACAACTCAAATAACATACATATGCACACACACACACACCGCCCACAACAGACAGACCATTCTCTGGTTTTTCAATAATCCCAACGAGACTAGGCAAGTGACACAATACAATCCTTTAAAATCAAAAGAAACCGTGATTGCATGGCATGATCGACCACTACAAATTTTTCACCCACCTAAATGCCCACAGACATTTATTTCAAAATAAAATCACAAACATTACCACCAACCGACATGAGTTTTCTCTCAGAAATCTAGGAACGTAACCACAAGACCTTATACCAATGAGCCTTTTGGTTCAATGGTACTCCTTGTCTTGTAAAAGTTTTGCTTTCCCGTTCCCGTTCCCCTTCCCCATCCCCTTCTCCCTCCCAAAAAAAAAAAAAAAACCACAAGACCTTATATTAAATCGAAATCCTAACCATTCTTACTGAATAGACATTTAACTCAACAAGAAAAAGTAATACTTGAACCAGACACTGAGGAACGATAGCTCTATTAACCCAAAGCAGGTAATAATATACACATCTATATACGTATCTTTAGATTATGTCGGAATAAATGCATATTAAAGGACTAGTGTATCAAGTTTGAAGCTATACCAGCATGAATGGCAATGCTACCATCAGAGGTCAGAAATGACGCCGTGTTAGAATCATTTAGAGCTGACAACTGTACATCATCAATCTTAAAAGAGCCGTTACCGTTGTCCGCCGGCACTCCCTCATCAACAATCGGAACCTCGATCGGAGAAGGAGCATCGATGGAAGCGGCGGAGGGAGGTGGATTGGTGGACCACGCTGCCGCTACGACCTGAGCGACGCCTATGTTGCTGCAGTTCCTCCGGGCCTTGGTGCTAAGTTGCCGCACGAAATTCGGAGGAAATTTGAAGATCAGAGACGAGAGATTACCGGGCGAGCCAGCGAAAGAGGCGGCGAGGGGTTTGTGGATCGATGATGAGGTTGATTTCCCGGTGGAAAACCGGCGGGTGTTGGAATATTCCGGCGGGTCTGATCGGCACTCGAAAGTGGGGAAAACCCTAGCGCAACTTGATACCGCCATGATTCTCTGTCTCTCTGTCTCTCTCTGTTCTCCGAATATCTCCTCTGGCTTATAGCCACTGATATTTGCGTGTATTTTTTGTTTTTTTATTTTCATTTATATTCAATTTATTTATTAATTTGAGTTTAATATAAAATTCGTATTGTGTTTTAAAATTCGATTCGACCCGAAGAATTGACCTAATAAATCGGTGCCTAAATCGGGTTGGTTCACTTATTAAATCGTTTGTGTGATAAAATCAGCGTAAACTCGTTGAATCCCGACGAATTTTAAAAAATCGACTGGGTCATTTAATTTCATATAAAATGTTGGTTTTGCCTTTTTGGACATTTTGCCTAAAATCTAAATTGTCCCCCCAACCCCCCCCCCCCAAAAAAAAAGAAAATTTTGCTTTGAGACTCTCAAACGCCCCACCTTTGCTTCTCTCTCTCTTTGATGTGGTACCTGCCGAAATAATGAGAACCAACAACGAAAAGAACTCAAGATCGTTTAACGATCAAATGTTATGGTAGACCTTGACTCGTTGTTTACAACAAACAAGAATTTTGGTATATAGACTTCAACCCGCTGTTTGTGAAACAAGAACCTTGGTATAAAGGAAGACGCCACAAATGGTGTGGAAACCCGTTTGATAAGTCGTTGGTGAACGTCACGGAGAATTCCGATAAGTTTGTGGTACCCACCGGAATAACGAGAATCAACAACGAAAAGAACTCAAGATTGTTTAACGATCAGATTTTATGGTAGACCTTGACTCGTTGTTTACAACAAACAAGAACCTTGGTATATAGATCTCAACCCGCTGTTTGTGAAATAAGAACCTCGGTATAAAGGAAGACGCCACAAACGGTGTGGAAACCCGTTTGATAAGTCGTTGGTGAACGCCACGGAGAATTCCGATAAGTTCGTTTAGTTCTTCAAAGAACCAAAGAGAAAACACTCTCAAAATTTGCTAAATAATTATCTCCATTTTCATTGATCTGAATGCCTATTTATAGGCTGGTCATTACAAGTATTAGGAATTTTCCTAAAATAGCTATTCTACTTAGGAAATATCTCTTACTTGTGGGTAAAGAAATATCTCTTACTTTCCTAAGACTCTTGAAGAAAAAGGAAAGACATTTAGCCCTTTAATCGCTGAGCACATGCCTAAATAGAAAAAAGAAAAGTACTTGGCATACAAGCCTTACAATTAGACCCTAAAAATAAAGAATAGTGCACGTACTGTAGCATGAACAGTGCACGCTACAGTAACTTTGAAAAGCCTACTTCATAAGAAATAAAACATGTGGGCTAAGCATCCTCAAGCCCACTTATTAATAGTTTTAATCATTTAGATAAATTGGAGGCCTTAACAACAATAAACCAATTGAATCTTAGCCTTAGCCCATAGCTGGATTCTTCTAGAACTTGAATCATGTTGATGAATATTTGTTGCCCAAGTGGATCATGATCAATGTGCCTCCACAAACTTGCTTGATTCCATGCCTCTTGAATTAGTCCATTGAGTACCTCTTTAAACTTCCTTGCTCGTGCTCTCGTAACCGGCCCACTTAGAACTTGAACTAAATCCCTTGAAGTTGTGTTATGATTTGCATCACTCTTTGAGTCTCTGTGCTGCGACGACAACTGAGCAATAAAAGCTCAAGTGTGAAGGGACTCTGATTCTCTGCTTCAGGGACTCTTGCTTCACTGCTTCAGGGACTCCTCCTTCGAAGGAGAGGTTGCTTCAAGCTTTAGATCTCCATTGTGGTAGCCAACAACAACTCCCATTGACAGCAACAGATACTACTCTGTCTTTGTGTCTCTCGTTATCTTTCTCGATTTCTCTCTCTTGCTATATTAGATTTTTGACTTGTATACATTGAATATGTAATTAAGAGCAACAATACTCTGCGTCTCTACTAATTTTATTGAATCCGCGATTTTTTATTTTCAATCATTGAATATGATTTTTGATTTGTGAATATTTTCATGCATGACTCTTTTATATATTGAATCTGTGATTTGTTAGGATGTTGTTGATGCTTTTGAAGCTTGAACTTAGATATATGGTGGTGTCGTTATTGCTATGAAAAGAGATTTTATTGGGTTTATTATAATTTTTTAGCCTATTTATTATTTTTTTTATTATACTACCTATCCGATCAATGATCCAACGGTTAAACCATTAAACCAGTGACCCGGTCTCTTTGTCGAGTTGATGTCCGGGCTGAGTTTTAAAACTTTGATAATTAGTATATAAATGAGTCATGTTATTTTTTGTTTTTGATTGTTTTCACTCATATTCAATTCATTTATTAATTGTGTTGTGTTAATGTCACTCATTTTTAAAACGGGTGACATAAAGAAAACTCAGACTCTCTAATTCATGACATGTTAACGTATCATGTCATATTTTGACATCCCTATCTTTAACTGTAATGGTCCATTTGGTAGGGTGGATAAAAAAATAGAAAGATAAAAAGTAGGACTGATATATTTTCTATCCTTCAAGGAAGGAATCCTTCCTTCCCACCATTGTGTTTGGTAAGAGGGATGAAAAGTAAGAAGAATTGAATTTTTTTATGTTTGATAGGATAAAAAAAGTATTTTTAAATTTTTATTTTAGAGGGATTGATTTTGATGAGTTGGAAAGAAAGTTAATCCATCCATTTTTTCAGTCTTCCTATTTTATTTCTTTACCAAACATGATATTTTGTCTATCTTTTCAACTTTTCATATTTTCAACTTTTTATTATTCTATTTTTCTACGTACTAAACAAAACATAAAAAATAAAGTTTCAATCCAATGGATAAATTAGATATAAAGGTTTAGTTTGGATGAAAATATTTTTAAGATTTATTACATCTTCTGAGATCGTCTAAAATTCTACTATTACAAACGAGTTTTGGTTTTTTGATCGATGAGATTTACAAATGATTAATGTTCTGTTTGGTATATGGAAAAATAGAAAAATAGAAAAATAGAAAGTTGAAAAGATGGAAAGTTAGAGGGATATATAAAATATCATGTTTAGTAAGGAAGAAAAATAGGAAAAATGAAAAAATAGATGGATGAGTTTTCCTTTCAACTCACCAAAATTAATCCCTTCAAAATCGAAAGAAAAATAGTTAAAAAGTTAATTATTTGTGTTGAAATGTATCTTATTTGTCTATATATCTTTTTGATATCTATATAATAAAGTAGAACGATTTTGAATTCAAAATATAAAGAGCGATTCAGATCGTTTCAAGATTAAAAAAGGCATCATTTAACGGCCAATGATATTTCAAACTGTCTCAAGCTATTGACATCTCAAATCATTTCAATCCGACGTACTATATTATCACTTGAAAAATTTTAGCCGCTCAAAACTTTTAGTTTCCAAAACTAACATCCCTAAATTTAATTCCCCAACTCAATCTAATCCCGCAATTAAGCAATCTCTCATTCATCAACTTTCTCTCTCTCTCTCTCCCTAAAATACAGATTACAACTCTTATCATTATTTCCTTGATTTTATTTCCTATGTTAAGAGATCACTTTCTATACTGAGACATTGACTATCTCTTACACTCTCATCTTTCATGATTTTCTTTCCAAACTGAGACACGTCTCCCCAAAATTTTATCTTAATGCAATTGTTCTCCATCTTTATTGTTCATATCACACAAACATCTTTACTGTATATATATATAGTACAAAGATCGATGACATACTATATCTACATGTTATATCTAGGGAAAGTTTCATCTAAAAACCATGTACTTAAATATAAATTCAATGACAATCCTATAACAATAATTTTTGTCTCTATCAGTAGATAAAATAATGATTTAATTATATATTTTGTGAAAATACTAAAATTACCCTTTAATATGTAGATAAACTAAAATGTCATCAATTCTTCCCCTATTATATATGCGTTAGCCAGCTAACAAACGTAATTTTAATCATTATATTATTTCAATGAATTTTTATTTCAAAACATTATATTATACCTTGTTATAATATTAGTCACCATATTATCACTCATTTGGTTACATAATCAAGGTTTTATAATTTTTATATTTTTTTATCGTAATAATTTTTATAGTTAAAAATAATTTTTATAGTTAAAAATAATTTTTTTATAATAAAAATTACAATTGATAAAATCAATGTCAAAATCTCATTCATTTCTAATTCTCCTAGTATCATATGTTCTCCACAACGTCCCTCGACCACTCCTCACACATCATACTTCATATATAAAATTTAAAATTATTTGATAAAATTTAATATTTATTGAATAAATTTGATCTTAATTTTGATAAATTTAAATATTAATTTAGTTTTAATTTGATAAATTAAATATTAATTTAGTATTAATTTGATTGAATTTAATATTAATTGAATAAATTTGAATGTTGTTTTAATAAAATTGAATGTTCATTTGGTGTTAAATTAAAGAAATGACATTAATTTGAAAAGGTTAAATTTTAAATTAATGGAATTTAATATTCTATTTAATAAATTAAATAGTTTAATTTAATAAAATTGAATGTCAATTTAATGTTGATTTGATAGAAATAAATAATAACTTAATATTAAATTAAATAAATAATATTAATTTGATGAAATGAAATATTAAATTAATATAACTAAATGCTAATTTGATAAAATTAAATATCAATTTTGTGTTGATTTGATGAGATGAAATGTTAATTTAGTTTAAATTAAATAAAGAAAATTAATTTGATAAAATTAAATATTAAATTGATCAAAATAAAGGTTAATATAATATAACTAAAAAGGAGTGCATTGAAATTTCAGAATCAAGAGAGGGTGTTGTTAAAGTTAGATTTATTTAAAGGGAGTATTGTTAAAGTTAGGTTTATTTATAAGGAGTGTGAATAAAATTTACTCTATAAAATAGTCGAAGATATTTCTACAAATTAATCATCGCCATTAACGATGTAACCTGACAATCACTAACAGAGAGTGACAGTAAAATTTTAAAATCGAAAGGAGGTGTCATTAAATTTAAACATA